ATTTTAATTAAAATGTATCTTATTTTTTAAATTAAAATGTATTTTAATTTTCTCTTTATATTCATTTTTTTTTTTTTTATTATTGCATTATGTTTAGGAGATTAAGTAGTTAATTAATGTAATTACAAGCATTTGCTTGTTACATTAATTAATATAAATAATGAACAAAATGATTCACAAATACTGTTTGATTACAACATCTTAAATATTCTTTTCTTTACAAAATATTTATAAAAATATGTGATAATATATGATTTGTTTTTTTATCGGCCTTTCACTTTCTTTCTCAATCTGAAAGTTTTGCGTCGTATATAGAACAGATGCTGGAACGATAAACGGATCTACTTACGAAAGAAAGATGTTTAGAACGTATTGCCTGAGGCGACGTATCTATTTTCATTCTACACTAAAGAGACGTCATGTATGTAGGGCTATAGATAGATCATTCACTAGACAAAAATGGTATTAACACGGATGATTATAGTTTATAACATTGGTTATGAAATCCGTTTAAAATGATAAATGTATTCAAAAAATAATTACGTGTTTTTGGGTTACGATGAATTATTGTTAAATTCAGGTTTTTGTCATATACTTAATCGATTAAAAATCGATTATTTTTTTGTATTTGACGTGTATATATAATTAAGGAGTGTTTTTAAATAGTATTATTGCACTTTAAAATAGAAAGATACCCGAGAAAAAATTGTCAGATGTAAATATATGTAATTAGTTATGAAAAGATCTGATAACATATAATATTTTATATCATCATATAAAATTACATATGTTATTTATTAGATTTTTTAATAACTAATTATATATATTTATATCTGACCAATATCATTTTTTTTCGGGTATATAAAATTAAAATATAAAAATATTTTAAATTGCATGACAACCAAAAATAATTGAAAATAATGCAGGAATAAATAATCTAATAAAATATGTATAATTATTGAATTATCATAAAATATAAACTACCTTGAAGGAAGTAACGAATGCATGCAAAAATAGAAAATTTGACTATATGAATCATCGTGATTTAATAAATTTAATGTTGTGAACAAATTTGAAATTATATATCTGCAAAATAATTGTAATAACAGTCGTTCAATTTATAAATGATTCGTAAGTTCTAAAATGGTTTCCTATAATAGGTTGTTATTTTCTCATGAATCGTATAAAGTACTATATGTTACGTAGTTTAATAATAACAGCAAATAAAACAAAAATTTATTCTGAAATGGCTACTCTATAATGTAACACAAAACTCATCAATTAAACTTGCACATAGTACCACATGATCAATTGTGTATAATTGGGGCCTAAATTGATACAGAATTAAATTGCTTAACGGGAGAAGAAAATCACATAGTAACTGTAATTTCCTTTTCCCGATCGTGAAATATCTTGCTTCTGCGACCTCGTCCGCAAATAAATAATTCAACAGAACGTTAATCAGCGTCCTTTCGACGGCACACATACGTGCATATACGAATAACGAGATGCATAATCAAGAAATATAACAGATTCTTGGAAAAAAGTTAACTTTGCGAAATAAAATTAACATGCAATCATCATAATTATTTTTTTTAATTCTTATGTATAACATTTTTTAGTCACAAAATTTGCTTAAAATTATTCAATCTGATTGCAACACCAAAATTTTTCTAGCTCAAAGCCTTTAATTTTGAATTCATTATTTCACTTCTCAATGCTGTAATTAAATCTCACATCAGTAACATCTCGGTAATACAACAATCGTTAAGCAACGTCTTTCCATAATTTATCTTATGAAAAGACGAAGACTACGAAAAAATGATGACAAGAAAATAACTTGTAAAAATTTTAACGAATTTATTTGCATATATTAATTTTTTCACTTGATCAAGTACAATACATCATGCACCTGTCAAAATTACATAACAAGTTTTTGTCACTTTAATAAATATTTACTTTGTGCGTGGTCACGTGCTTGAAAAACCTAATCTACGATTATCACGTTTTTTGTAAAGTTGATAGGCTGTCAATGGAAAAACGAACAAGTACAAAGAGCAAACGCGCTTGTGTGACGAAATTGCAATCGCCACGAACAGATGTATATACCCCTTCAATGGGGTGAGGAGAACAATTAAACGATTGACGCAACTGCGGCATTCTCGCGACTAACAAGTGAGAGCCGCGACGAACCAAAGAGAGAGAGAGAGAAAGAATTTACGCGGTACGTTGATCTCCTCGTGCGCGCGAATAATGTATGGATGTGGAACGAGATATAAAGTTTAACGTGTCGCTTTTAGTTCGGCAAACTCGTTTTTACGTAACGATACTGATCATTTTGTCGATATGCATCAGAGCTCGATGAAAATGTCAGATGAGACCGTTAAGCAGGTTCTAATAGCCAAAAATTAATTAGTTCAAGGATAGGAAAAACAGGTTTTATTGGAATTTGCGCTGTTTTCCACCACAATATCCGCACATTAGGAATATATCATGTGAAACCTCTATCGACTGCAATATATGTTTGAAAAATGGTTTAAATTTTGATTGTTCAAAAGAAACAAAATTAATATATAAAAATAAAAATGAAAATCAAAATACTTGTTTAATTTTAACATGTTTTGCAGACTTAAAACATTTTTTCTAATTTCTAATTTGTCTAATTTCGTGCATATTCCACGACTCGTCATTTTATGCGTTTATGTCATCAATTATATAGTGATTCCAATGTGTCTTTTACAATGGCCGTTTTTTCACACACATCAAGTGAAGTTTATTCTTCACATGATGATAACAAGGTCAACCGCATCATCACCAAGGTAATTCGGACACTTGGCGTGTATATTTTTGATTGAGACATGGCGTGCGTGTGGTCCTTAATTTTAAATGACAGAAACCCGCTATTTATTAAACGCTTGATGTGAGCGAGAATTTACATGATCACAGGGTGACGAAGTGTTTTTGAGGTGGGCCCTCACCCTTTCTCATACAATTTGATGGATGTCACATTAATCTCAGCTTTAATTTTTTGATTCGACATATGACATTAATGCAACACATTAGCAGTAAATAATATCGACATGCCCTGAATTCTATTGAATCGAGGACTGAGTCGTACAATAATTATCACGTGATCGGGCAGTTTCTCATACTTAAGAAACACTGCTATGAAAAAAATATTAACGAAATTATGTAACAAGTTGCGCAATTGGTACAAATATATGATATTAATACCAAGAAGTTTCTTTAAAAAATTTTCTTAAAATTATACGATATACAAGCAACATAATTGCTTGGTAAAAAAAGATATTTATTTTTCTTTATTTTTAAAGAAATAAAGAGTATTTAAAATGATATGTTTATATGATTTTTATATGCTAGTAAAAGAATTAGACTGAAAAGTTTTGCGGACGGCAATGTCATTCAAATATATTATGCTGAAAATGTTACTGCCATTTTGTCTGACAGTAATAAAAAAAGTGGATACTTTCTCTGTCATACTGGAAAGCAGACAACTTCAGATGTCATGAGGTCATTGCAGAATGCACAGTCATGCACTGTGAAATTGAAGTTCTAGATTTCGTATTACATAAATGTGTGCATGACCTCAAATGTTCAAAATTCTCAAGAAAATTTTCTTATTTGTATGAATTTAATTCGTATAAATTAACAATAACCTACAAACTATTACAGAAAATGCAATTTTTATATCGTTTTGAAATTATTATTGCTTTCATCATTTCGCAAAAAGACTACAGACACCGTTGCTGTCTTGTGTCAGTATTGCGATATCTTTGAAGATCGTGCAAAGTAACACATTCTACACAGAATGTTTTATTACTATCGGTACATATCTTCACCTCTTCTCCTAATCGCGCTTATTTCTACATTTATCGCGAAGCACTATTCGTGATTCCTCACCGCGGTGAAACAAAATTGCTTTGAATACTCGATGCAACATGCTGTCGTATTACAGCAACTTGAAATACTTGGCACGAACGTCAAGCATTCTCCCAGCCCATATTGGCAATTTTCTGGTCGGCATTTTTACAATTTCGTCCGCGGGCAATAAGGAATCGTTACCGATACTGATGGAACACGAATGATACAACGCGGTCCGCCTTCAGTAAACTTAAACGTCACTCATCATTTCGTAATACGCGCTATAGGTTATCGCATATCGCTTATTACCTTCGTTGAGCATATTGCTGCATTTTTTCGAAAAAGTAATTTGAATTTATAATACTTTACATAATATGATAGATAAATAACTGACAAACTCTTTGATTAAAGATTTTTTCACAAGTTTTTGCTATATTTTTTCTTCTTTAATTATATATATTTTTTTAATTACATTTAAAACGAATAATTTATCTATCCTCAAAAATCGACACTAAAGAATTAATATAAAATGATAAAGAACGAAACTGTTGAAATAATAATTCACACAAACCAAATGAACAAAGTAGAAAATTTGTATGTCAAAGAAGTGTCTCATAAGCGACAATAACTTAAGTTAGTCTTCTCCATTAAAGAACTATAGAATAATAAATTATTTATTGAGTAATGTTATTATCGCCTAAGGCCATATTTTGCTGAATTGATTTTGATCGATCGATCAGGAATGAGTCGAAAGTTTTGCTAAATAGAATATCCTAGACCGCATCACTATTAATGGCAGATTTCTGATATCATTTAAAGATAAAACACGAATGGTACCTCTCAAAGATCCATAAAGAAAGTTTTTGTACAAAATCTTTATATAAAAAAATCTTTGTATAAAATGTCAAGGCTACAGACATTTTATACAAATATATCACACATATATTAGATATATAATAAATATATATCATATCTAACAACCATACATATTAAAAATTGTACATTTTTTACTGAAAGATTTTATTTCAAAGTTTTAAAGTTTCTATGTACGTTACATTATATAATATTTTACGTGCAATGTTTGGAAAATAAGAGATAACAAATAAATGATTACTTACTCTAAAGTTTGCTTCGACGCTGATACTCTTTCTGAGCCTTCTTATTCCTCTTTTTCATGCAATCCTTCAAGGCATTCATATGCGTTCACGACGCGAAAGATTGCACAATATTTTAAACGGCACTCCTGACACGTACTTTGTTATTTGGACTCGAATTTTATCTCACGGATTACACTTTCAATACTGTCGCGTTCATAACAAGTAAATAATAATGGAGAGAGTGAAATTGAAAACTACGGAAAATAATAAGAATAGTACTATTAAAAAGGATAACGCGCCGATACGGAACGATTTGCCCTATACGAGATGTCGCTATACAAACGATAAAGGTGCAATAAACAAATCAAGGATAAAATCACGCCGATTTTGATTTGGGAAAATGTAAGGAGTAGGATATAACAATGTGTCTCTCGATACATAGCGAGAGATATGAAGTGCGCAGGCTAAACGCGAGAACGAAAACATTCCTGCCACACGTCGCGAGTCGGTTTCGAAATTCTTAACATTGAAGTATTTATCGAACGTTTATCGAAATCAAATTGAAATCAAATTGAGTTTAAACTCAATTGTGATAAATGTTCGATAAATTCTTTGTTGTTGTTAAGAATTTCGAGACCGACTCGCGACGTGTGGCAGGAATGTTTTCGTTCTCGCGTTTAGCTGCGCACTTCACATCCCCTCTTTTTCTTCGCATTCTTCCAAATTAGAATCGACACGACTTTGTCCTTGATGTGTTTATTCGTACGGTGGCACTTGTACAGAACAAACTGTTTAGTATCTGTATGTTATCCTCTCTAATAATACTACCCTTACTACTTCCCGTTTTCGATCTCATCCTTTTTCATCGTTACCTATTGCGGAGAGTATCGAACGTGTATTCCGTACGAATATTCGAGTTTTATTTTGTCCAAATGGCAAAGTACGTGTCGGGAGTGTTGTTTAAAATATCGTGCGATTTTCGTATTCACATCACGAATGCGTATAAGTGCCTTGAAGGACTGCAAAGAGGACTGAGAGGAGGAAGAGGCTCAGGAAGAGCATCGGGCGCCAGCGGAGCAACTTTAAGGTATTTTAATCATTTATTTGTTATCTATTATTTATTTTCTATAAATAGATTTATAAATAATATACAATATACAAAATATACAATATACAAAATATACAATATACAAAAATTGAGTTGTACATTCCGCTATTTATAAAAAAAACACACTATTGATTCTGGAGTAAACAACTAAACATAAAACATTTCAGTGATATATAAATTTTTAATTTGGCATACTTTTGGCATGTTCGATTACAATATGCCACGTAAAGGTTTAGTAATAAAAAAAATTAAACATTTTTAATTATTTGAAACATTTTAATTGTAATATATGTATTTCTTAAATATTTTTTTATATATCATATTAATGTAATTGTATATTGCTTAATCTTAATAAATATTACCATTAAGAAATGAGAAATTAATAATGGCAAATTATATTAATAAGAGGAGCTTAAAGTATTTTTCCAATTTTGGTTCATGCTCGAGGATAGTTGTTCTTACGTGAGCTCATTACATCATTGTGTTTGACTGTCGTGTATCACATCATCTTCTCTTGAATCCGTCGTAATCATCTATAATTTATTTTTCGATCATGAGCCAACTAACTAAAATATATATTTTTGGTGCCAGTCAAGGCGGCGCCGGAAATTCCCTCTAGAGATTTTTTTTTAAACAGGTTTGACCAGTTGTCGTTGCGTACGTGAAACGGTAACATGTTTGTTAGTGGGAACACTTGAATCCAGGACAATGATATAATGCAAGCATGATTGAAGTGGATATTGGCAGATTGACAAAGGCAATCATATCACTTGAAACTAATCAAAACTTAATTTCTAAATATTATTACTCATCGATGACAAGATAAAATAAAGTTTTTTTACTAAGATTTATACTTATTTTAAATTATATCTATACATATTTGTTAACTTTCTTTTTTGATGATATAAATGAGGATTTTAGCCAAAAATATTATAGTATTATAAAAAGTATAAACTATATTAATTAAATATTATGAATATATCTCATTATCCATTATTTAACATTATGTTCAAAAAATTATTTTTATAAATTATATTATACTTTTATTTGAATCATAAAGCTCATTCTTTTTAATTAAAAGATTTTAGACTTATAAATATATTATTTTTGAAATCTATTTAAATTCGAACTTTCCAAATATTATTTTTTGCGCTTGAAAACTTTTTTGTATTATAATTTTCACTTTTTGCTTATATTAAGAATTGAGCTAAATGCAAGTTCTTAGCGTTAGTAGTTACAGTCAGAGATAATATACAGAAAGTAATATAAATTTTTATATTAACTTCAATATGGTTGCATTAATAATTATAAATTTTAATGATTAACTATTAAAGACTTCTTATCGCAGATATTTTAACTGTAATAGTTAAATATAGTTATAAGACGCGTGCTTACATAAATAAATAAATGTCCATAAATGCACTTAGCTGAACGAATCTTACGCACGAGTGAGCATTGCATTTGCATATACTTTCAACGCGTTCCACACGGCAATATAAGCACGATCGCATCAAAGACGTATACATATTCGATGCTGTAACTCGCGTAATCGTGGATATAATAGATAATAATACGATACAAGATTACGAGTCCTACTTTCAATACGTGATGTAAGAGAAAGTCTTAAGACTGCGTTAAATATTTTAATCTCGATCGCGATGTCAGATCTGATAATTGTCAAGAAGTTCGCACGTCGACATATTCCTCATAAATAAAATTTGAGTTATTTATTAAAATATTGTTTAGCAAATTTCCGTTTAGCAGATTAAATAAGAATAATAAAAATAGACTATTGGTAAATTTTAAAAGGATTAAGGACGCGATTAATATATAATAAACACTGACGTCATATGTGTTCTCGATGACATAATGCATGAAAGGAGCCTTTACGTGTCGCGAACGTGTCGGCGAATATTTCATTTTAATTTTATTTTAAAGCGTTAAGCCTTCCACGCGTCAAGTCTTCATGCTTATTGGTCATTAAACAGCGCCACGGTTGCTGAAGATGCGGGTGCGCAATTAAGATATTATTATGAATAAAACAACCGCTTAACAAAAAGTGACAGATTTAATTTACGGTTTGCCTGCTCTCTTGGCGCGTTCTCTCATCTGTACTTATAACTGAATGCAGGCGACTTTGCTATCTGTACGACAGCTATCATGTCCAGCATTAAACGTTGTACGTCAGTTTTAAACTGTTATTTAATTGGTATTTAAAAAAACACTTATATATAATTTTCTCTTACATATGAGATAAATAGAATTTCAATATAATTTACAATATTTTGAAAAATATTTAAGAAAAAAATGGTTAAGTAGCAGATTTTATATAAAATTTTACATTATCTAATAAAATGTAATAGTCTGATTGTGTAATAGTCTGATATTTTACAAATATTTTGTTGCTATAAAACATTATTTAATTACAATAATGTAACTTGATTATATTACGAACATATTTCTTTATCAAGAAATGTCAACTGCGTGGAAAAAAAACAGTTTACGCATAGACAATGTAACGCTAAATAATATCTTCTTACTTAAAATAAACCTACCTGTGTTGTGAAATTGCAATTACAACATTGCGAAATTTGATCACCTGTGTGTTGAATGACCCACAGGACGTTATGGAAAGGAAGAAACACGTTTACCCGGGAGCGTAGTAAGCGCGGAGAGGGTAAAACCTTGGCATTCCCGATATTTTGATTGCGACCCGAATAATAATTCTTCCTTTCCACGATTTCTCTTATTTTATCTTCATGACCCCGGATTCTGCGTATTCCTCCTCGAAAGTCCAAAATTATTGCAAGTGCAGACGCAATCATGATTGCGAGTCATTATGCTGCTGCTGCTGCACTATGATGTTACAATATCTCATTTTTTTCTGTGGTTTTTAATTTATTACCGAATGTGTGCGTTTTATGACTGCGATTGAATATAAAATGCAGGCATTAATCGCATTACATGTACAGAAGTATCGCAATGCAACGTAAAAGATATATAGCACATTTACGAAACATATTTTAAAATTTGTGAAACGAGAGTTATGAGCCGAAAAATAATCAATGAACGACATTAAGCATATAAAAGCAGTTTAAGAAAGTATTTTACATATAAATGAGGACGAGGAAGAAAAATGGCATACTAATTAATACCGAAATTTTTTTATTTCTAACTTTTACTTTTCATATGTTGTAATTGTAATCCATAAAGAGCGGAATCGTCATTTCGATGACAATCGAAGAAACAAAAAAAAATGTTTCCTTATAACTTTTTATGGTCGCGAACGATGTGGAAACGAAGCGAGAATTTAACGCCTTATTATCATTTCTTATTATCATTTCTTTGCATCATAAAAGTGATATCAAACATGCTATGTGACAAACAAAATATGTGATTATATGAGGTTTCATATGTGAAAGCCAGTTGCAAATTAATTTAAGACTTTAATTCTTTCAGGCTTTACAGTAAGTGCCGTTTTAATATTGATGCCTAAAAATATTGATGACAAAATACTTGTAGTTTAGTATTATTATTTTAAGGAAGCCATGTTAATTTGTCATAATGAGAATTTACAATATCTCATTTTTGTTATCTAATTATTTATCTTAATATTTAATTTTTATTAGAGGAAATGAAAGATGTGTAGTCAATGCAATCGTTGTACGCGCGCTTCTCAAACTGAGAAGTGATTGCATCAAAGCGGAAAGCCACAGAAAATCCATACCAGTTACGCACTCGAACGCAATCCGCGATGTTAGATAATTACATTAGCAGCCCTTCCTAGAGACAGCGGTACATTTATTACAGTTATGTAAATCGCACGCAAGGCGGAGGGCATAATGCAACGATGCTTGGAAAAGTAGAATGCCGCCTACAGCGCTTACTCTCTTGCGTATGCGAGAGCAGTAACTTATTCTAACGTATGCAAATAAGGACAAACTCGCAGATAACGTCACAAAAGTATGCAGACGCGGAAAAGTGAAACGCTTCACGGTGAAACGCAAGGGAAGGTACGGCGCAGTGAAAAAGTGAACGTGTTAACCCTCTATGAGCTTGTTATTTAAAAACAGTAATATATTGAATTGCGATCTATTCTTACATCCATAAGAATCAGGAAAATAATACAAGAATATTTTACTGAAAATTTATTATTCTCAATAAATACCTGTGCTTTTGCAGAGAAAAATAATAATTTTATAAATAATTCAAAAATTTTCTGATATTTTCCTTTTTACTGAAGTTACATTCAATTATTATCTATATATAGCGCAGTGCGTAATGCTTAAACAGTTGAACATTGTAGGAATCACGTTTATTCCCACGATTCGTCCATGAAATCAATTTTATGTAACGCACGCGTTTACGAAATATGTGATCAAGCATAAATATTATTAGACGGTCACATATGGTACCGTGTTACGTAATATTATGTATGAGTTGCTTTACGAATGCTATTATGCGGAATGCTTTCTACACGATGAAAGGAAATCAAAATGATAGAATTAATTGGAAGCCAGAAGTTTCGATCGATGTATTTAAACGCAGTTCATTATATAGAAGTGAACTAATTAATTAGGATATTTACGCAACGAAAAGAAAGAAACAAAATATTGAAGACAATAGAAGAAAACTGATTGAGTAAAACATTTTACGCATCTTCTCACTACTTTCTTTCTCATCGCGGATGAGCGGCGTATTATGCCGCTCCCATTAATTCTACACTGATCCGATCACGCTTATTTTACAATCGCTACTATATCAATTATTTCATAACATTTCTCGCAGCAGTCATGGGAACCAAGGTGCGAGGTGAAATATCTGGCACCCTCTTGATAATAATCGAATCGATATTAATTATAAATAAATGATATAAACTAATTGACTGACTAATTGACACCATGTGACTGAATATATAAATTCTCATGCAATTTTTGCTTTTTTTCCCTTAAAATCCGAGAAATTAAAATTGGATTAATGAAATTGTATTATACATTAAATGCACTATTTTACTATTTTACTTACGTAAAATACTGAATGTTATCCACATTCGAGGATTAGTTTCGTGATAGTAAAGATGTAATTATGTTGATCAAAGTCTAATATCGCACATATAAATTATATTTGCATTATCTAATATAGAGTGAAACATTCATCTATTTTTTAAGGTAATAATAAAAATAAATAACAGTTGGACATTACGTAATTGATAAATTACATAGCATAATTAATCATACGTCACTATACTGTAGATGTTAGGAATTATTAGGCGGCACTTATAGATCAATCGTTACCTATCTTGCAACACAGCCTTAAAGATGAAATATTGATGCTCTCTGGTGATGAATTTTGCAATCGAACAACGAGTTGCACACATATTTACAATTTTACAATCGCTTTTCCTCGCTATTACGGGGAAACAATATTCGTCCCGCAGTGTCCATTCCCGCGTTAATTCCGCGCGATCTAATCCGATCATAGTCTTTCTGATCGACGAGTGTGTCGGCTGACCGACCCTGATCAAGCTGCGTCGAGAACCACATTCTGACTCGTATGCAAGGATCGACTTTCGCTCCGTTCGTCGTCGCACGCGCTCTGCGCAATCTTGCATCTCGATGTTACCTGTGCGCGATCGCGCTACGGGGGGAGAATCTTGTTTTCCTTAACACTTACAATCAGGTGCAAGTGAATAGAACTATGTGTGTTGGGAGGTCGTAGACACGTGAATCGATCTGGTTCAGACCGGAGCGAACCGATTATTCTTTCTTTTTTTTTTCGTTCTCGCAGCTGTCCGAATTACGAGCAACAAATATTTGTAGATATGATTCAATTGTAATATTATCAATTTAATACCTAGATTTTAACTTTGCGCTGACTAATTATGGATTCGACATTGAAGCCGATCAATTAAAGTAACGAGATTGTTAAACAATTACTGCTCTTTGTCGGATGATACGACAAACAGATTTAATAGAACTATTTAATCCGCACATTTACAAAATCTTGCCGAGTCAGCTGATATCTTTAGATCATACCGCGCTCGAACGCTTTCACGCGCGATTCCTCATTGAAGCTTTCTCTCGCACATTCCCCGTCGAAGAAGAGGAAATAGAATGTATTTTCGTACGCGCATTAATCGATAAGAATCTAATTGTAAGTAGACCATTAGTAAATAGATCAATAGATCTCGAGCCAATCTCTAAATGTGCAAATTGTAACCAGAGAATAATCGGCTACGCAAGAATGCTGGACAGAGAACAGGCGAGAATCAGAGATGACAAACGAGATATATGGTCCATGTGCTCTTGCGTATTCCGACCTAGTTTTCATCTAACCCGAATACTCGCGAGCTCTGAATGACTAAACTAAATCGAACGAGCTATAAATCTTGCTTCAACACAATGCGAACACCATCTCCAGCTGTTTTAAGTCAAGCATTACTAAGAATATTAATAACATCATCTATTATAAACTATATAAAAACTCTGCACAAACATCGATTGTCAGAAATAGAAAATTAAATTAAATAGGATATGAAAGAAATAATTAATGATTTGTTTAAACTTATTGCTAAATGTATATTTATTTTTTTAGGTATGAAGGACCGTTCTAAGGAGGCGCGCATGGCTGGAATACAACGATCGGTGAGTGAATTTATTCATTATTCTTTATTTTAGATTATCATTCTCTATCTTATTTATGATATGATTATTTGATTATAAAAATAGATGAGAACTTTATTATATATATATACATATATGTATAAGACGTGAAACTCTCTCTCTCTAATAAGAAGACTGCCGTTAATTATAATAATAGACTTACGATAAGGAATGGTGATTTATTGTACAGGAAATATAGGCAAGCACAGACTTATGATTATTAATATATGCGATAGTCATATCTTTGTTCTTCACGTAATATCCTGCTCTATAGCAGTTTAGTAGTGCCGTATTGTACTCCAATATTCTTTCATTCTTTCACATGCCGATCGTTGTGATTCACACTAGTCGAGACTGGTCTGTATCCTGCATTATTGTATCCTGGTTGTATATACTTGTTACTTCATATGTTAGGGGGGTTCGTTTCTTAGTGACTCATAGTTCAGATCAAGATTGATTGGCTGCAAAGTTTAGGATATATTTTAGAGCCCATAATAACTCTATTGAACATTTAGTTGCTCATTTAAAGTAACTAGATGTCAAATTTAATAATACGTTGGAGATAAAGCAATTTATTTCTAGATAATGGTTTCTTTCCGAAAAGAACAGCACTTTGAATATACAATTAGAAATAAGAAAAAATTTTTGATGTGATTAATTTTAGACTACCTATATTGACATACTTTTTATTTATTTATTAGTTAATATTAGAGTAAACTACGTTCTAAAAATAATTTAAAATTGTCAAAATTTGAACTTAAATTTAAAAACTTTTAATGATTACATACATTGTTAATATAAAATAATAATGTAGAAATTATATTGTGTATTTTAAAAGTGTGAAAAAGTAATTGACGTACTGTATTTTGTTTTCGAGTTACATCTTCGAAATGAAAATGGGAGAACACTGCACATTTGCATTGTGCTAATGCTATGATTAACAGAGTTTGCCTTTTATGGTGTTAAATCCCATTTCTTGTAATTTGCTACTATCTCATTGTACGTGCACGCAGAAAGTGAGAGGACGTAAGCTTCTCGTAATAGGGTGCCCGACATTACTTTCACAACGAGAGCAAGGTCTTATTTTCTACATTGATGGGTTTCGCTCTTCCCTTTTCGATGCCGACGTTCTTCATTTCAGTCAGACGTTTTATTATCTTCTAGATTGAAGATCTAGTATATATAATAATAATTTTTAATTTAAAAGTAATTTATATAAATCTTGAAAGTTTGAATATTGAAATTATGAAAAAGAAAAATTTACCAATTTTATATGATGAATTTTTTTAAAGCAATTTTAATTTAACTTATATCACAGAAACTTAGTTTGCCTTATATATCATTTAATGAATAAATTAAAAGTTGATCAATGAATAATCTTAGGATAATTATACTTCTCAATAATACTTTATAATTTTTTAATATATAAATTCATTTAAACTATTATACAAATTTTATAATAATGTTTCTCTGAATCTAAGAAAATCATGATTTTTAAATGGAACTATATTTTTGTCTAATTATATATTAAAGACTGTGATATACTAAAAAATGTCGATGCATCAATAATATTTGCAAACAATTTTACTTTATTATATTTACAGCGTGAATTTAAAAATGAAAGAAAAGTGCACGTATATGGTAAAAAAACATTGTTCATTAAGATATACTTATTATTTATAACGGTTTGTTCCTTGAAAATGTTAAAGTTAATGTTTTATATTTTATTTGTTAAACAAAACTTTCTACATAATAATTTTTTATATAGCCTTTACTAAAGATTAATATTTCAAGCTGAATGTTATTATAAATATTAGCTCTAATGAGCTAATATTAACTATTAACTATTTTTGTTAAATTTGTTACAAATTGTCCTTACATATTATCTGCAAGAAGAATGAGAGATAATATTGCTGGCAATGTTAGCAGCGTTCTTATCAACATTCTATAACAGTGATTCTCTGTATAGAGAGCAAGTCTAAGAACTGTAATCCTGTCGCCTTTCATGGAACACGTTTACCGACTTTTGTTCAGTATCGTCGCATTAATTTTAAAACTAAATTAATAAACTAAAGTCATGTTTTAGCAGTAAACAATTACTATTTGCTGCATGTTTATGCTACGTCCACAAATTGTGGATTCAGAATATGCTTTGTATCAAAACTTAATCATACGTACAATACAATGTAGTTCCAACTCTAAAATACAAGATAGCAGTACTGAACGGAGATCGGTAAACGTCACGCAACCTGAATAGCCGTTCTCAGACTTTTCTCTAACAGAAGGAAGAAATCTTTCTTAACATAATACGATATCTGAAGAATATTGTGCTGTATGAAATACAAATTTATACAATTAGTCGAATTTTTCATACTATTTGTTATTAAATCAAATACAATGTTTGTTAATTTGTAGCTGCTAAATATTTTATTTTAGTATATAATATATAGTTGCAATGCTTGTTGTGTCAAATAGAGATGGCAGTAAAATGTTTTCTAAAGTAAAATACTGGACAACAAGTGGATTCTACAGGAATCACATAAAAATAATTTTAGCATGCCGAGTTTTTTTTAAGTTATAGCTTATTAAATTTTTAATTATGTTAAACTCGATACATTTGTTATTAGAAACGTTATTTTCTGTTAGTATTATTATATTTATAACAGGGTTATTACGTTTTATTTAATTACCCCTGAAGTGATTAACTTATCGTAGTTGGCGACGTAGTCGCTGGACTCGTAGTTGGCGACGTAGTCGCTGGACTCGTAATTGGCGACGTAGTCGCTTGACTCGTCGTAGTTGGCGACGTAGTCGCTTGACTCGTCGTAGTTAGCGATGTACTCGCTGGACCTGACGTACTTGGCGACGGACTCGCTGGACCTGACGTACTTGGCGGATTTGCTGAACTCGATGGATTTGACGGATTTGCTGGACCCGCCGGACTTATTGTTGTACCTAAATAGATATTTCAATCAATTAATTGAAACTTTCTTTTTTGAAAAATCAGTCGGTTCATTAATGTTATTGAAATGTAATCAGAGCAATTAATAATTATTTTATATTGAATAATTTTACTAAATTTTATGCCAAATATTTGTATTAATATAGCATATTTAATTTTGTATTTGATATTTCAAAATTGTGACAAAAACATTCGGTTATTGAATAATATTAATAATAAATATTTAAATTTGTTATAAATATAAAGTCTAACAATATAAGAGAGATATAACCAAAAAGAATAGTTAATAAGGAATTACAGATAATCATGAAAATATAAAACATTAGCTTTGACATTTTCAAGGAACAAACGGTTATAATAAGTATATTTTAGAATTGATCTTTTTTGTTGTCATATTTCTTTTTCAATATTTTTCTTTCTTATACCTGATGTAGTTTCCACATTCATTGTTGTACTTGTTGTTGTCATATTATGCGGTAAATATAACTCAGGACATTTTATAGCACACATAAGATTTGCGAGATATGCCATGGTATCTGCAGATGTGCAAAACGAACGACAGAAATTTTTACGTATTATTTCCAAACCATGGAAACCAAATCTTCCCGTCCGTGAAGCGTGAATATCGTGTGAAGTATTGTGAAGTAAACTGTCGGGCTGCGCTAAGTCCTGAATAATATATACTATTTTTTAATCAATTATATTTACTTTAATACTTTGATTTTTAATCAAAGTCAAATATAGTTATTATATAAAAAGCTATTAAAATATGTTTTTCTTATTTTAATCAAATTAAATTATCGAAAATTTTACATTATTATAACTCATAATAAGCATCTAATATTAATAAATGTTAAAAACATTATTTAGCACACGTGTTTAGTATATTTAGATTTTTAGTGCACATGTGTTTAGTATATTTATTATTTTTATAATTATTAGAAATGAATTAAAATACTACAAATTCACGTTACCTTCACATTATTCGCCAAAACGATTTCAAACACAATTAAGAGACCAACGCAAATACTTAGACGCATTTTTTATTTTACTATATTAATTGGAGTTGCCACTTTAATATTATTAGATGCGCTTCGCCACACACTTTGTAGCTGTTATAATCTCAAGGGAATTTGCTGCTCATTTATATAGGCGGCAGATATATATTCCTAAAAAAAGCAAACGTGACAAGGATATGTGCCGACATATTATTTACTTCTTGAAGGTTTTTTTTCCGCAGATTACATACGTTTCTTATCTTGTATATTAGACACTTTAAACGTTACGATACAATTCATGACATGCAGATACGTTTTATCATCACAGTTATTCCATTTTTTGAATCACTTGGCCTTCTTACATCTACATATATTTTAAAGTAATTATATCATAAATTAATGATGTAATCATAAATTAAATTGATGAAAAAGTGACAAACATAAAGTAGATTTATAATTTTTGTCATTTGGTGATGGCAGAATTTAGTTTTGATAAAGGTTGATTTAGTATCAACTTTCATAATATAGGAAAAGTTAATCATTGAAATTTATTAAATTTTTTAGGAGAAAAATATAAAGTAATATTGTATTAATAACATTTTCTATCAGACGATTCATCTTAAAAATATTTATATTACAAATTTTTCAACATTTCGTTATCAACATATCTAAAACAAAATGCTTAAAACATTATATTTTTTTACTCATACTTAATGCCAGTAAAAAATTATAAAAATGCGCAACTCCAAAAAAACCATATATTTTATCAAGTGAATTGATTTATTCAGTGCTAAATTTACTAATATTGATGAATGCAATACACTTACAAATTTTCATAATTAATCATTTTATGAGTTATACTGTGAGCGTTAAAATTTTTTGGCAAGTGAAACAGACGATATATAAATATAGTTTCTTGTGTACTTATTCTCTATTATTTTATCAATAATTCTGATATTGTTATCCAAATAAATTTTAAAATTTGCATTTGCAGAAACAATTATTAAAATTTTCTAAGGAATAATAAATACATGCAACATTATAAGTAATGCTCATAGTAACGTTCGTAACAATAGTATGTTAGAAACGATGTTATCGCTACTTTGTTCCGTCATAAAAAATTATAACACGTGACTAGAATGCAAAGAGGAAACTATTGCTATGAAGATTGAAAAGGTCAGAAGTATTTTATCTACTGTCTTCAGTATTCTGACACGTCGCAAGTTAGTCGAATTAGCACAAGAAAAGTATCGCGGTATATTTATCTTTATAGCCTGGTTGTATGCAACCTGTTTTTCGTAATCGTATAACATGAAGTTAATCTACTCGTGTAAAGCGATATGAAATACGAAATTTATATGAATCGAAGCATAATTCACACAATTCTTCATTATTATTGAAATATTTATAATATTGGAAAATCTATTATTTGCTACGATTGATTTTCATAGCATTAGAAAATAATGTCTGAATTTCAATAAGGAAAATTCTTTTTTATAATTTTTTGAAAGCAAAAATTTTCTCAATTTTTAATATGTTTAGGATGGTCGCTATGACCTTTCACAGTAGGACACGAACTACGTCATGGCGTAGGAAGGTGTTGCCTGGTGGGAAGGTGATAGCTACGACGTGATCACGTTAGCAATGACGCCAGGGATCCCAGCGGGTCGATAACAATGAAACCGACAACGAGCGCTCCAGAATATTCTGGGCGCCTTGCTTCTCCTTCTGCAACCACCCACCTTTTTGTTGCTTACGCTCTTTTTGCTTGCGCCTTTATACCTCTTCGTATAAATCTTTTTCGACCCGTCTCTCTTTCTTTCTCTTAGTCATTCTGTTTCAATTAGTTAATGCTTGGAGTAAAAAGTATCCGCAATTCTCTATATTCTCGGATCATTGTGAAAAAAAATCTGTCTGTTGAATTGATAGTGTCTCGATAACTTTTAAACGTATTTTGGTAAATTGATTTTCAATCAATGATATTGTAACGTTGATAATGTAGAAGCATAACACTCGCAAAGTGCTTTTACCGTCGGCTACTCGCTCAACAGTAGTTTCCACTTTATTTACAAATGATGCAGCATTTTCAAATAATTTCAAATTATGCTGAACATCTTTAATGTGCAAAACAAAATGCTACTTGATCAAATGCTCAAAATATAATTATAAAAATGAATAATTACTACATTTCGTCATTTCAATTTTGATACATTTGACGATTTCGAAGTCAAGCGTAAATTCACTGAAGAAAAGCGTAAATTTTTCATGATAATTGATATTGTTTTTCATTATTATTGCATATTGTAATATTGTAATTATTCGGCGCTTAAATCGATTTCGAAAGAAATCAGGAGATCCTGTTGTACAGGAAATTTGTTGCATCGCGTAATTGCTTGGTTAAACGTTTTATGTGATTGTCGACTTTGCTTCTAATGACGCAAAATTATTCGTGAAAGTAATTGGGCCTTCGTTATGAAACTCGTCTCTCAAGAAAGTAATTCAACGATGGTGCAAGATAATTTCGTAATTCTCGGTTGAATCCCTAATTGGGTCTGCATATGCCAATCGATCCTCCTTCAGTCACGCATCCACTCGCGCTGAAATCGTGGGAGCGAACAATGCGCTGTCACTCAATATTTAAGATGAATTTTTTATTATTTATGTGATCGATGATTCGTAAAATTGATCTACGAAACATGAATCTGAATTATTATACATTCCATCTCGAATCTCGAATGCTTTCTCGTATTTATATCTTGACCGCGATACTGATTTTAGCTTGAGAACCATTAGCAACAGTTGATAATATATTTTAAAATAGAATTTCAATATAATGGTTCTCTCTAGAATACTAATATTTAATAAATAACATGAATTAATAGAAAGTGTTATTTCTACATATAACTATATTTAATAAAATATTGTTTATTCTACAAATTTAAATTTATATTGTAATATAGTTACAGAGATGTGTTACCTACATATTGAATTATCATTACATTATATATTTGTGGAATAATTGGAAAAGAATTATTTCAACTTTACTGCTCCATCTAAAATCAATTTCTATAAATCAATTATAGTTCAAAAGTACACCTGCAAATAGAAAAATTGTCGAACGTTTTGAAATAAAGAAACAGAATTAACAAATTATTGTAAATGGATATCAAATCAGTAACACCATTAATTATGACAATATTGAATAATACAACCATTCAAGTTCTAATACAGAATAAACAAACGCTGAAAAGGGAGAGGAGGAAAGATAGATCTGCGTGTGCGCGCTTGGTTGCTAAAATGAATATTTGATCATTAGCTAAACGCGGTGATAAAATTGTTGATATTAAGATCATTTTAATCAATGAAAACGTCTCTACATAAAAGCTCAATCTTTTCTTAAATAAGTTCTTAAAACAGAAAATTGCTAAAAAATACATAAAATACAAAAAATACATAAGTACTAAAACATTTTTGTCACGCAAATTCCAACAACACTGTTACATCATTCACTTGCTTTACAATTAACACGCGCAATAATAGGACTTGTTGATTATACGCAATCACTGACAGTCATGTGTCAACCGCGAGACTTAATAGAAAGATTGTAGGTCGTCAATGTGATTGAAGACATCACCGGTGTAAGATTGTGAAGGTGTGCGGTTCCTTGCGGAGGATTCCGCCGATACTCGGCTCCTTGACGTCCCTCCAGGGAGTTTCGGCCTCGCGACGGAGGGTGTTAGTGGCGTAGGGTGCATATCGAAGGGAAGATGAGAATGGGCGTAGGGAAGGAAGCTAAGGAAGGGTAAGCGAATAGATGAAGAGACGCGATGGAGCAGCGAAAGGGGGAACGAGAGGGCGAGAAAGAGAAAACGAGGATGAGAGAGAGAGTGAGAGATGAGGGCGCACTCCCGGTCAGGAGCGTGGAAAAGGGCGATCGGGGAGGTTATAGGGTGGTGGCGTGGGTATGCGCTAGTACTAGTCTTGCTGAGGGACGAGAGGGATAGGGGGAATGAAGTGAGTGGATGAGGAGAAGTCCAGAGGGATGGAGAGAGAAGATCAACGAGAAACGGAGGGGTCTCAGGCAGATCGACCGAGAGAGCATGAACAGAGGCGAAGGGAGAAGAGAGAAGGATATCTGGAAAGCGCAAGGGAGACAGTATGATCCCAGAGGAACAGCATAAACAAGGAACGAGACAGTGAGATAGAAGAGCAGCAAAGAAAACGCAAAAACGAGATGGAATAACTTTACAAAAGAATGAAAGACGAAGGAATCGAAGAGACTAAGAGAGAGACTCGTTTGGGGGGGAGCAAAAGGACGTGGAGAGAACGCAGAAAGAGAAAGAGAGAAGGATCAGGGTGGGATGTGATAAGGAGGGACATAGATCGAGTGTACTGTGGAGCAAGAGAGAGAGAGAGAGAGAGAGAGAGAGAGAGAGAGAGAGAGGAGGAGAGAGAGAGAGAGAGGAGGAGAGAGAGAGA